TAGGGAGTTGATTATTTTGAACATGGCAGAGAACACATATTGATGAAAATTATAAAATTTATTTTCAATTTTCTAATGTCTTCCATAGGTGAGCACAAAGTTTATTATAATTTTAATATAAGACAATTGGAAACAAAGTATATAAAATTGTTTTATTAGTTTTTGACTTCCAACAAAAATTTGATGATTTATAATCAAAATAGTATATGCATTGTCTCAATTTTGTAATCAAAGAATTATACTTACTAAAAGTAGAAATCTAATTATTCTCTTATATCAAATTAAAAATAATAATAAATATCCTCTATTTGATAAACAACAAATCCTAGGAGTCCAAAAACACCTTGGTGCAGTTTGCTACAGCTGTGGGATTGAGTGGGTATCTCTTTTGTCTTCAAAATTAGATTTTGAAAATGTGTTGTTCTTATGGGCATAAACAGATAAAATAAACAGAAGCCAAATCATCTCATATAACTTCAGAAATTGTAGATAATAAGTGATATTACCACAATCTAATCACTAAACAATCTTTAGATTACTGGAAATCGGGATTTATTGCAACTTTAAATGAAAAAAAATTTTTTTAAAGATAAGGGAAGTAAGCCACCTCAGAATATAAACACTGAAGCAAACAAAGATCACTAACTGTAATATTTTCCCCCTGTGGAAAGTTGCGTCATGATTTATTGTTCTCAGATACTCTTTGGTGCTAAATCATCTAATAAGTTCTCCATATAGTCCAAGTTAATAATGAGGTTGAAGTGAGTTTTTATAAGGAGTATGACCTATATTAAAAAAAAGTCTAAGGCTTTGTATGTAACTTTAACCAAATAAATTCTGTCTCTTCATTTTCACAGGGAAAAAATAACATTTCTATATACTTCATGCCTAATAAGATAAATTGTCAAATGTGATTGCTCTTAAAGTCATTTTTACAGATCTACAACTTTAAGTGTTATTCTAATATACAATAATTAGATCACTGTGGCTTCTGGTCACCCAAATATGTTATATTTTATTACTATTCTATCGCCCTTCTATTTGCACCAAATATTATGATTACCTAAATTGTTTTCCTACAATTCTAGTAAACATCAATATAAAGAATTATCTAATATATAGTACACAAAATAATAAGGCATAATACATTAAAGACATAAACTTAGGATTTTAAGAAGCTAGAGGAAGAAGTTTTGGAAAATTTCTATAATTCACAAAGGCTTTGACTATTGAGACTCCAAAACATTTATTTACAGTGCACTTATAAAACAAACTCCTAAACAAACTCATTTCCACAGTTCTCAGGGAATCACATAAGAAACCTGGGTATTTTAAATCATTCTCAGATATGATTATTTTTCTTTAAGTTATTCTTAGAATAATGGCAAAATAAATTATAGAAAAAAGGATAAAAACATGTGGAGAGCTAGCATCCTATTTTAACCAATTTTACATAGAAATTGAAGTATAAAAATATTTTCACTTGCTTAATTATTGGTAGTGGAAACAAGAGACTCAGAACTGTTCACATTAAATAAACATGTCCTAGTGATGAGACAATACATACAGATTTTGGCACAACAAAATAGTCAATGTGAATTCCATATCATAGGGCTCTCTTTGAGTTTTATCTGTTAAAATTTTAAGATTGTTCTCTCTTTTCAGTGGCTAGTCAAAATTCTCCTGGAGTCCTTTGGGGATAGTTGGTTTTCAGCTCAAGGCAAGGTTCCATTTCCTTTGCAACATTTATGTTCACTGCCCAAGTGGCTTCCATCACATCTTGTTATTTTTGATGTTTTTCATTTTTGAAGATTTCTACAAGAAAAGAAAAGAGGGGTCCATCAAAAATATGTATTGGATCCATCCAGGAAGAAAACCATCTGCTTTCAAGTACTCTTTGTAAGAGACTCACATGCATATGCTTTTCAGAAATAATTGGGAACCAAATAAGAAGAGCCAAAATATAAAATAAAATAAATGGGAGAGATGCAAATTCTGCAGATACTTGGTAGACATTTCTATGAGATAGGAGATGTACATAATTCCATTCCTAAAGTATTTTTCAGTTGACAGAATGCTTTTCCATGCATTTTAGTTTATCCTCATTACAACTCTATTTTATCGGCAATGCAAGGTGGGCCACAGTAAAGTTCTGACCTGCCAAGCAAGTACACAGTAGTAAGGGGTTGAAGCTGATGGTGATCTAAAAATATCTGATTCCAGATCAACACTCTGGCTGATGTCCTAGACCTGTAACCACAGAGCAGGGAGTGGGCATCTACACATGGGAAATTGAAGGTGAAGCTATAGGTTTCAAGCATAAGCTTCATGATGTAAAGCTCTGAGTTAACCTGTAGGCAGACCAGACACTAATACAATGTCCTTCCAGACTTTTGTCCTCCATTCCTTCCCACTAAGGCTTTGTGAAGAATGAGGATGAGTGCTTAAAAAGCCCCACTAGCAAACACTATAGTGGTCAAGAGGCACAGGGAACCAGAAACCTCAGGGTTTGAAAAATCAAGGTATGAGTTTGCTCATACCTTGATCATCCTAAAGACCATTTGATTGCTGGCCACTTAAATGGACAGGAGCTCTCTTTATCTTTTGTTCCTGAGTAGTCATAACCTAAAACAGCCTCCTTCCTCCCTTCCTTCCTTCCTTCCTTTCTCCTTCCTTCTCTCCTTCCTTCCTCTCTTCCTTCTTGTTCTTCCTTCTGTTTCTCTCCCTTCCTTTCCTTTATCCTTTGAATTCTTTCTCTGCCACTAATAGTAGCATAGTCAAAAGTAAGTTATCTAACCCTGTGGGCCTATTATTCATCTTTAAAAACAGGAGAGGGGCAGGGATAATAATGCCTATTTTATGAAGCTGCTATAAAAATTAAATAGATCTATAAATACAAAAAGCCTAAAACTGTCTCAATAACTCTTGTTAATTTTTATGAGTCATGTGAAACACGAAAACAAAATACACAGCGTTGTGACTTCTGAGGAGTTCACAGACTAATTGAGAAAAAAAAAAATTGATGTCAAAAAAATAGAAAAAAAAAATAGAATTTCTTTGAACATGTGAACCCTCCTAATGACAAGAATTTACTTTCTTTGTCAATAACTCTTCTCTGTGTTAACTGGGGCTGGAGTCTGGGTCATCAGTGGCTGATGGGGAAGATAGCCAGGGCCTTGTGTCCTCTTTCATTTAAGTCTCTCTCCTCATGATCCCCCAACCGCTGTCTTCAGATCTTTTAGATCTTTCTTAAATCACAAATATCAATACAACTAGGCACTGTAGAATATACATTATAGATAAAAGAAACAAGATTTTTAGGCAGTATGCCCAGATTTAATTCCCACTTCTATTAGTTACTATCTTTAAGATTGTATCTTTAAAAAGGGATAACAACAGTATTTCTTACTTCACAATGTTGCTTTTCTTGCTGGGGGGAGATAAGGAAAAATGAAATAGATATATTGTATTACAAAGAAACAGAATCTGAGGACTTAGTTCTGATTCCTGAGACTACAACTCAATGGTAGTGCATTTTGAGGAATCTCTGAATTTCATTTCCTTATCAGTGAATGAAGTTTGATAATAATAACTGAGTCATTGAGTTGAAGAAATATCAAATGAAATAATGGATCTGCAAGTGCTTTGTAAAGCATAAAGTGCCACAGAAATATTACCTGCTATTACCATCTCACATGCACATAAAACTATTATAGGCCTGTGGTTAGAAAGTTCAATCTGTCATCTTGACAGTTATTAGTCTCACTCTCCCTTGTCAATAAGCTGATTTAAGATAGTACATAGTCAAGCAGAAAAACGGGAAGTGAGGAAATTAGAATAAACATGTTATTTCAAGGTGAAATAATGGGATTAACCATGTGAATTTTAGAGGGGGCTTTTTTTTTTAGTCTCTCTCCCCTTCCTGAGCTGGCCCTAACATTAGCTAAGTGGGGATCTTCTACATAACATCCATACTCTGGTGGCCAGCTTATGGATACAGCAGAAGAGTTCACATAGGCTAGAAATACTGTTCCTCATTGCATTAACTTTCAAGAAATCTCAAAATGTGAAGGAACTGTTTTTTCACACAATTATTTGTTTTTAAACCCAAATTTATTTGAAACACTTCTCTTTTTGAGGAATTCATCATCCATTCCTTTTGGAAACATACCAAGTTTAACCAGAGGTGGTTTCTTAAACTGCATTAAATATTTACTAAACCAAATGCTTAGATGATAAATTAACTGAGGAATGCAGAGTCCTATAGACTAAGTTTCATGAAGAGCAAGCCAAACACTTCAGCTATAGAAAAACAGGCTGAGTTTTATTTCATTTTTCTCTGTAAGACATATAAGCTAAAGAAGTGCCCTTTGATAATCAGAATACATACTTTTGTAAAAATAACCTGTTGTTCAGTCCACAAAATGAAGTTATAAGCATAAAATCAGAGGGGTAATTCTTTGAACAAGAAGATTGAAGTGAAAGAATATCTCCATTTCCTCATATTTTAGAGGATTCAAATTCAAGTATATCTGAAATTGATTTGCATTCCCTTTTAAAGCCGACATTTCCTAAAGTGTTAATTTGAATCCATGCTTTTCACACCTCATGCTCCCTCTTGGGAACTTTGAGTGCCAGACTCCTAAAGTTGCTCAATCTGATGTAGAACAGTAAAACCTGCAGTCAGCCAGGCACCTTCTGTGATTGCATTCTATTCTGAATATTTCATGGAATCTATCTTCAACAGTTTCAACAGGATTTCCATCTATCTCCTCCTATCTGTGCCAACCACCTACTTTCCTTTCTTTAGTACCTTTTGTAATGACATTGTTGGCTGAGTCTGAATAAACAAATGGTACACATTAATAGCTGCTGTATTGTTTCCCTCATTTGCAGTGATTAAGTGGATACTGTACCATTGTTCAGAGATGAGTCATATTTGTACTCCTGGCAACTGTTTTTGCCTACAGAAAATACAATTAGATAATTACAAAATAGAAGTCTGGGGTTTATTTCTTTATTCAGTGTTGAGAACCTATAACAGGTCAGATGCTTCCTATAGGAGACAGCACTGAAAGCCATAAGATCAGTAGAAGATTAAACCAATTAGAGAAAGCAGCCTTGGTGAGCCTTCAGGATGGAACTCCGTGGAGTTTTTGAGAATCAGGTACGTGGCTGACACAACTAAAGCCATGGGATGGGGGAGGAGTGGAGAGGCTACTATGAATTCTGAGAGGAATTCTATGATTTGGCAAAGGTTTGATCACGTTTACTCTGGCTTTTATGTTGAGAATGGACACTATGATACAAGGGTAGAAGCAAATAGACTAGTGGGGAAGACACTATAAAAATCCTGATGCGATGATGGTTGATTGTAGTGCATGGACTAAGTTGATAGAAGTGGATTAGAAAGGAAGTGGTTATATTTGAGATATCATTGAAAATAAAGTCAGTAGGATCTTGTGATAAGAGACAATATAAGAAAGAGGATTCACAATTCTTTTATTGCATTATTTTTCAAAATGGTTCATAGACACCCTGCATCAGCATCTCCTGAGAAATATGCTGAAATTGTTTCCTGGTACAGCATAGGACCTCTGAATAAGACTCTCTAGAGTAAAGGTTAGTAAACTTTTTCTCTAAAGAACAAGAGAACAAACATGTCACAACTATTCAGCTTTATGGACAGAGCATTGAAGTAGTCAGAGACAATATGTAAATGAATGAATATGGCTAGGTTTCAATAAAACTTTATTTATAGACATTGAAATTTTAATTTTCTGTAAATCAGAAAGTATAATCTAATATATAGATTGTATTTTTATGTTTTTAAACCATTAAAAGGAATAAAATGTTTTAGCTTCTGGGCTTAACAAAAACAGGCAATGGTATAGTTTTGACTGAAAACATGAAAGTAGAAAAATCCTAAATAAGTGTTTTTAACATTATTATTAAGTTTTTTTTTAATTTACAAAAACTCTTCTGTGAGGTAGACATTTTTTACTCTAATTTTAAATATCGTAAAACAAAATCAAAAGAATGAGTCATTCTTTGAATTAGAGTTCATTCAGTCTTGGGTCCGCCTGGTTACAAAGCCTTTTCAAATTCCACTGTACCCCACCACCTTGTGGAATATTCTTCCAGTGGATAATGATTCTGTTCAGCCTGAGTGGGAAGTAGAGTGAAAAGGAAAAGAAAAACATTGCTTTGTCTTGAGAAGTTTCTTTTTTCTTTTAATACTGTATATGGCTTTGCTTTTATAATTAACATTCTGCTGATGAGAGCTCCCAGTGGCGAAGGCTGACGAGGAGGCTTGCCACAAAGAGCAAGCACTGCAGGAAATAAATTAATCTCCAGGGAAGAAGAGGGGCAAAGTTGTCAGTGCTCACACAACCACCTAATAGGAAATGATATTTCAAAACTGTTCAAACAATAAGATGACTGTGCTTCTCCCTCTAACATATTCTTAAGACATTCAAACTTCTGAGAAGAGGGTTGCTATTAAGATGAAGGATGATCATATAAAATTTTAAAGTCATAGGAAGTATGTTGTATCTATGATAGCATTCCCTAAAAAGTGTAAAGGGAAGGGAACGATATCATTATTTTGTTTATATGATGAAAAATCTGCATTGATATTAAATTGAAGGAAGAAACAATAACCTGTTACACAATTTATGAAAATCAAGAAGTGAGAAGCTTGAAGGCTGCAAACATAAAGAAAGGACAAGGACATGATGGCTAATCATCCTGATTTAATCAGCATATGGCGTATTGAAATGCCACACTGTAAGCCATAAATAAGTACAAAATAAAAATAAATGATTAAAAAATTTTAAAAAATAGAACTATCATTTGGCTCAACAATTAAAAAATTAGCATGAAAGCCATACTGGCTTTTTTGTTTGCCAAATTAAAGTTATCCTCTTTTTTTTTTTTTTTTTTGTTATTGGAGGTTGAACTCAGAGACACTCAGCACTCAATTACTAAGCCACATCTCCAGTCCTATTTTGTATTTTCTTTAGAGACAGGGTCTCATTGAGTAGCTTAGTGCCTTGCTTTTTGCTGAGGGAGGCTTTGAACTTGTGATCCTCCTGCCTCAGCCACCTGAGCCTCTGGGATTACAGACTTGGGCCACGGGGCCATGCAAAGTCATCCAATATTCTGAGTGACAAGATTTCCAGTCTTTAGCATAAAAATAACTATTAGACTTAGAAAACTATTTATAATAACAGTGGAACATAGTTATTCCTCTATTAAAGCTGAGAAACCATAATGTATTTTATGATAATGTTATTGAAAATAACTGACTTTGGATAGTATATAATCAGGTATTTGATCAAGGTCTTAATATGGATCCCCACCTTATCTAATTATCTAGTCCTAAGAGGGAACTGATTTATGTTAAGGTTTTGATATGGGGTGTCCCTTCAAAACTTCATGTGTCTCTGCAGGAATACTGAGAGGGCAAATAATTAGATTATGAGAGATGTAAATTAATCAGTCCATCCTTTTTTGAATGGACAGAGTGGGTGGTAACTATAGTGAGGTGGGGCATGACTAGAGGAGGCAGATCACTTGAGGCATTCTCTGGAAGGGCTGTTCTTCCCTGTAGCTCCTTTCTCCCAGTCTACTTCACAACCCTACCATGAGCTCAGTGGCTTTCCTCTGCTGGGTCCTTCCCCAATTATGTGCTCCTCTCTCTGGGCCCAGAGACATGGAGTCAGCTATGTATGGACTGAGATCTCTGAAACTGAATGCCAGATTAACTTCTCCTTCTTTAAGTTGTACTTGTCATGTGTTATGGTTATGGTGACAAGAAGCTAACTAAAACAGAGATTGATACTGAGAAGTGTTGCAGCTATAACTAACCTGATCATGTGGTTCAGAAGCCTTTGGAAATAGTTTGCAGAAGATACTTGGAAATGCAGGTTGGAAAAGCCTTAGAATATGGTAATTGGAGTTTAATTGGCAATTCTAGAGAGAGCTTAAAAGAGCAGAATAAAGATAGGACTGCAGAATGCACTTATGAAGTTTTAGAGGGAAATGAAGACTCTGCTGGGAATCGGAGTAGAGGTCACCATTAATGTTAAAGAACTTGTCTATATTTTCCCCTTGTACTGAGATTCTGAGTGAGGTTTTGTTTTTAAATGATGAAATATTTAATGTGGTGGAGAAAATTTCAAGGTAGCACAGCATTCAGTCAGTGGCATGGATATTACTGGCAACTTTTAGCCAGGTTTACTATGAGAATTGGGAACCGAAGGAGGAGTTTAAGGATTTTAAAAACTTGCCATTTGGCCAGAAAAGTAAAGTAAAGCTGGGGTCAAGGAAGCTGCGCTTGAAGAGATTACAACTCTTAAAGAGAGGCTAAGTACTTTGCTCAGAAACCACATGCTTTGATGGCATCTCAGTTATTTGTAAGATCACACCCACAGGCTCCAAGGTACATAAGCCAAAATCCCTCTGAAAGGAGATCATGAGATCACAATGATGCCCTGCTCATACAGTGGGGCCTAGGAACTCTTTTCACCATACTGAGTTGAGCAGACATTCAGAGGCAACTACAGATAGGATGCCAGGGGGCCCAAGTATTGTGCAAGTTGTCATCTACATGGTGCTGGTTTTACAGAAATACAGGTTGCTGGAGTTAAGGGGTCATGAAGGCTTCCATCAAGATTTCAAAGGAAGGCCTGGGAGGTCAGGCAAAGTTTAGCATGGTTGGAGTCCTCGTCGGCTGCCACTGAGAGGGCAATGTATGAGTTGTGAAGTTGAAGCCAAAGCTGGAATGGATACCCCAGGATTGAAAAGATACCAGTAATGTGAACTTCTCAGAGAAGCTGCTGGCTGTGGAGACAGACAGGCTAAAAGAGAGCCCATGTGCCTACAACCAACAAGACCAAGGAGGCAGGGCTGCCCAAGTCATTTTGAAAGTACTTCATGTAGCCATGTGTCCTAGAGGATGAACACAGAGTTAGAGGCAGAGTTCTAGGACCTGTTTGCCTAGCTGAGTTTTGGTCTTGCTTTGACCCCAACTGATTTCTGTTTTAGTCAGCCTGTGTCACCATGTCTAAAATATTACATAAGTATTATATAAATTTAAAAAGTTTATATTAGATATTAAGATTAAACTAAACCTCAGTAAAAAAAAAAAACAAAAAACTTCTCTACATTCTTATAGATCTATTCTCTGTTCTCTACCCTCCCCTCTTGGCCTCAGCAGAGTACTTTCATATGGAGCTTGTTTCCTCTCACCTGTTTAGTTTCCCAGAAATAAGGAGGATCCTAGATGTGGAGAATCACACATATATCTGAGTTTTACCCAGAAATGAGACAGTTTGAGCTCAATAATCTCAGCCTGTTTTGATATCAGAATAGGCCATTGAATCAAAAGCTTTCAGAATTAACAGGGCCTGAAGATTACCTTGTGTACCTCCTGGTTTAATGAGGAAAGTAAAGCTCAGAGAAAGGAAATGACTTATGAAAAGCTACATATTCGGGTTTTGGCAGAGCTGATACTAGAACTTAGGGTACTGTTTTTTGGTTTTTGGCTCAAGGTTCTATGCACTGGTTGACTTGTCTAATTTATGGCAAATTTCATCTACAAATTTGGGATAATTCAAAGAACACAGTAGAAGCTCCAAAAGGAAGGGAATTGCAAAAGAGAAAATGAACCAGGAGAGTATAAAATTTTCTTGATAGAAAGATTTTATTCAAGGGGGAAAAAGCACATTTAAAAAAATCATACTTTTTGGCAAAGATTTCGGTTTCTAGAGGGACCCACAAGGAGGAAAATGAGAATGGCCCTTATTTGGCCAGAAAAATCACCAGAAGCAATTGCAGTAATTACTGAGTGACCCACATAATAACCAGCTCCTCCTCATAACTAAGCAATAATCCTCTTTTACCAAATGACTTTGCCCTTGGCTTAAGAAAGCCCCCTTATGCACAGTCAAGCCCTGTCTCAGGGACAGCTGTACCTTATTATTGACTGGTGCAGGGGGTATAGAGGCCTACCCTAATTTTGGACAACTCTCAAGACCCCCAACTCCACAACGGCCTTGGTGACTTTCTGAGGTCTTTGTTGTGACTATATCATGATTTACCTTCTCCCTCTGCCCATACATGCCTCTGTTATTCTGCCTCTTTTTTTTTTGAGAACACTTC